ACACTACGCCGCGTCATATCGCGCGTTGTCCTCCTCAAAGTCATTCCATGACCCTTCGGTGAGTCCCTCTTGCCACCCTCTTCCTCCTTGTCTTTCTCACCTTTTTGCCTAGGTGTATTGGTCATCGCAACCACACCACACCACAGCGCAAGACGACCAGTACAAGCCCCTCCTTCGGTGCCAGTATCGGGGGATCGGGGTGCGCTACCCACCGCGTACGTATTTGTGTTGAATGCCGAGGTTCTTGTCCTGGTAATGTTTTAAGTCCAGTAGAGCTGCGATCAAAGTGTCGTGTTATTAGAAGTTCTGACCATATCGGGACAACATGGGAGAAGACTCCGGGCGGGTCAGACTGACCACTTGGGGGTGTCTCTTCGTCCACACACATGTCCACAGTTTTTCAAAATCCTACTCTTAACACAACTCTGCTGACNGTTCCGAGAATCTAAGATTCCATCCAATCCTATCAAAAGACCTGTCGAATCTCTCAAACTTATTTCCCGATGAATATACAATTCCGCCTCACAACTTCCCGATAGTTCAGTATCCTTTCAAACATGTCCCGCTCTTTTCCACCTGCTCTCTTTCCAAGTAGTACGCTTGGCTGCACTCAGTTTACACCAGCCCTGTCCCATACCACACTATTAACCGTAGTTACCCGGTAATTCCACCGTTCCAAGAAAAGCGGCCTGATTGCACCACATTAGGGTAATGTAGTGTTGTACATGAAGAATCCGTCGTCAGAATTTCGATCAGGATCGATGCGGCGGTGATACAGCTACGCACTGATATATATCTGCGCGAAAGCAGGAATAACCTGGAACTACTAGGAATTACACTGAAATGTCCCCCCTCGCGCAACACTTTCTACATGTTGATTCAATCTCTCCTGACTACGAATTAGGGTAATTTTGGGGTGGGGATCACAAATATATTGTTGGAATGCCCCAGTTTTGATTTGCAATGGACTTTCAGCTGCTAAAAAGCTGACAGTAGCTGAGTAATTTCAAAATTCCTGGGATTTTGGATTCTCGGTTCCCACGTCGAGTTTTTGTCTGATCAACTTTCTGAGTGGCTCTACCCCCTCTAAATCGGGCAAGCGGAATCGAATGCCGAGGAGAAATGGAGGCGCCAAAATCGGCAACGCGGTGAAAAAAAACAATCAAGGCGATTCGGTCACATTTTTTTTTGTTTCTCTTTCTTTTATGCTTTTAAACGTCGTTCGTTGTAGACATGTATCCAAAAACGGTTTTTCATTCGAGTTTTTCCTCGCCGCGGGAGAGACAATTCGTCTTTACCGCGGAACACCACCACGGCAACACCATCAAGGAAAAGTGAAACTGCACGCACACACACAATGTGAGCTCTTGTGTAGATTAAGCCATTTATTTATTGATTTTCCGTCTTCATTTCCGTCTTCATTTCCGTCTTCACTTCCAAATCAGCGCACCACGCACGATGGAGTGCGGCAACTACCGGGGCATCTCTCTCGTCGCACACGCCGGCAAGGTACTGCTTAAGGTTGTCGCCACACGACTGAGCCACTACTGCGAGCGAGGGGGCATCCTCCCGGAGGAGCANACCACGGCAACACCATCAAGGAAAAGTGAAACTGCACGCACACACACAATGTGAGCTCTTGTGTAGATTAAGCCATTTATTTATTGATTTTCCGTCTTCATTTCCGTCTTCATTTCCGTCTTCACTTCCAAATCAGCGCACCACGCACGATGGAGTGCGGCAACTACCGGGGCATCTCTCTCGTCGCACACGCCGGCAAGGTACTGCTTAAGGTTGTCGCCACACGACTGAGCCACTACTGCGAGCGAGGGGGCATCCTCCCGGAGGAGCAGAGCGGTTTCCGCCCACACCGATCGACGCTCGACATGCTGTTCGCCATCCAGCGGCTCCATGAGCTCGTGAGGAAGAAGAGTACTGCGGTGTTCGCGTGCTTCGCCGACCTCACCAAGGCATACGATTCGGTGGACCGAGACCTACTGTGGGACGTGCTCCGACGCTTCGGCGTGCCCCCGAAAAAAGTTCGCGGTCATTCGCCACTTCCACGAGGGCATGACGCCGCGCGTCCGAACGGACGACGGGCAGTACTTGGAATGGTTCGACGTAGGCCAAGGCCTCCGGCAGGGATGCAACCTGGCCCCGCTGCTGTTCAACTTGTTCTTTGCCGCGATGCTCATGGTCGCCATGGCCGAGTTCGACAAGGACCCCAAGGTGACGGCGGACATGATGAAGATCGGGACACAAGTGGAGTACACGGGCAAGAAGGGCAGGTCGGCGGGGAA